GAGACCTGGAAACAATAAAGATAGGAAAACTGGCAAAAACAAAGATAACTCGGGGTTAAGGCAAACTATTTCAAATTCGGCTGAAAAGTTAAAATATGACCAGAAAAACTAGTCATTTGATGGTAAATGATAAAAAGTAATTAAGTTTAAATCACAAAGTATAAATATTTGGGTTGAAAAGCAAGAAATATAGTAATAATAAAGCTGATGGAAAACCTTTAGCCATCGCCTGCGAAGAGTTGTCCAAATCTTGGTATACATGAATTGGAACCAAAGCCTCTAGCATCTCCAGACAAGTTGGTAGGTAATTTGGAATTTGTTCTTCAGTCTCTGTATTAATCGTCTCGATGGGTTTCACCACAGGCAGGTCGGAAGAAGTTAAAGAGCCGCTAGCATTATCGATCATGCTCTCGCTGCCAGCACTCATATTGATACCTCTAACGTTTGTATTGGTATGAATCGATGTTGTTTTGCTCAGGCAACTAGTCGAAACCGTATGCGGCGAAGATGTAGTGCAAGGCGTATCGGAGGTGACAGCAACAGAAGGCAATTTCGAAGAAAAGACGACTGCCTTGTTTAGGTCGGCGGTTATAAGACGACGCATTCGATTCAGCCGATTAGCCTAAAGTAGGATGAGGTCAATAATAGAATTCAAGTTTAAGTCGATCTTCGCCATGACGCTCAACAAAGCCTGTATGAGCGTCGATGAGTGAATGAATGTATATAGCGAAGTCATACTATACTAGTTATGATAGCAATAAATCGAGACTATAAGGTTTCAAGTAAATGTATTAGGACCAAGATGAAGTGACCTTTAGAATAGTCGCAGTCTCCTTTCGTTGTATAGAAGTTGTTTGTCTTCGCAAATTGGTCGTATTGTCAGGAAGACATAGGGGAGCGCACATTGTCCGGAGTCCATGGTATGCATGATAATTTCCAGTCGGACAGTGAATTTGGTATATTCCCTGATTTTTTGCATCGTCAGTGAGCTCTGCCATTCTTAGCATCACACTACAACTGGCCAAAAACACAATTAAAGTCGATCCTTTTACCCACTATCTGCTAAACAGTTGTGACATCTTTCCTGCCCTGGTGAATTCACCTACCCTCGTACACCTCTTCATAATCACAATTCCTTACTTGTTTATCTGATCCTAGTGCAGATGTGCCCTTTTGAGTGGATTTAGCGTGACCTATTCATACTCCCCGCTGCTGCCCTCAGTCCTCTCCGCTGTACTACGAGTGTAGACCCAAGCCTGCTCTTATAGTCCTCAATCCTCTTCCTCCAGGTCTCTCTCTTGCTCCGATCTTGATGACCAAACTCCTCAGTATTCCTATCTTCAATCTGTAGTTATGTTAAGATTGGAAATTTAGAATTATTCCATGGTGTTGTTTCTTTTTGAATAGTCTCCTTTTGAGTGTCCCAGTGAAGCGAAGGACCTCAACATCTAGGAAAAGTAGTCGCCCAACGTCCTCAACCTAAATTGTGAATTCGATTCCTTCATCAAGTTGGTTCACTAAGAAGTGGGTTGACCTCGTTGTCGCAACTTGGTTTTGTTGTCAGGGGGACTTAGTAGTCCGAAGTCGTCTGCCATAGTAGTTGTCATGACTCCATGCATCAGATAGTGGACTTGGTACATTCTCAAACGTTTCGCCGGCATCGTAGTTGGCATCATCAGTGAATTTTGCCATTCTCCGCACCAAGCTACGAACTCGTCAGCGACAAGTAAGGTCAATGCCTCGGCAAACATTCTACCGAAAAAGGTTACACTTTCTGTCCTGGCCTATCTATGTACACTTTACCCTCTCATCCCATTGCCGCCTTATCACAACTTCTCATTTGTTAAAACGTGTGCCCTTTTGAGGCAAATCTAGTAGGTCCATCACACCTACTAGTCATCCCGACCTCCTCCCTTTTGATCAGATAATCCGACTTGGGTCTCCAATCCGGATCCCCTCATTGTCTCGTAGGTCCGTTCCTTATCTTTCTGGTTAACCGATTTTACTCGGTTCCAGCCCCTGTGTGTATTTCACTCCAGGCGTTATTTATCAAGGCCCTAAAAGCACGTACACTGCCGCCTCACTGAGCAGAGCGCCTAAGCTCTGATCCCCATGCTTGCAGATATCAGGCCTTTGCTTCATGGGTCCTCTCCTTGATTAAACTGAGCAAACTGTGGTCGCATACGGCATATCAACGGCATATCAAGTGGATTTCTAGTGCATTTTGGCCATAACGCCAAATTTCCCTGACAATTTGCTTATGTCTGCCCAGCTCCCTGACTGCC